CACACATGTACGCGCGCATTTACCCACACGAATGTTTATTTACTTATTTATTTATTTATATATATATATATATTTATATTTATATATGTATAATATACGTGCACGATCCGCGTTCCAGGAACTCGTCTCGCTTTTTCCTCTCTTTTGTACAACTTTCTAATACGCTAGGTGTATTTGTCGTATTTTCATTAGTTTTTATATGCATTATTATCTCTTGCACAACGAGCGTTCAAGCACAGAACCAAGTTTGTTAAAAAGCTGTGAACGCACATGTTGACTCTGAACGACTATCTAACGCGAGTTCATTCCAATCACCGTCTGCTTTCGTTCAGTATTTATCCCGTTTCCCAGAACGCGATCGCGACGTGTTTCCATTTTCGAGCTTCGAATCGCGACGAAGAAACAACGAAGTAATGAAAAAACTTCTTACGTCGTCCTCCGTTGGAACAGCGCGATCGTTTAGACTTGTTCTATGTAACTTTAAATTTAACGTTTTCAGCCGTCGGTCGGTCTAGGCGCGACGTAGCGTCAAGCAGCTACCGCTTTAGAAACCGTTTGTTTGCCTATAAACGACGTTTATTCTGACTTCGACTAACGTGGAATTTCCAACGCGCGCGCGCGCGCACGTATCCGCTCTAAACACTCACGCTACTTACAGCTTAAAAGGTGAGGTCACGACTGCCGTGTCTAATCAAGTATATTACACGATTTAGGAGCCATTCGGGTCTAATCGATGAAGGATAATTAATCCGGCTGACGGCCTGAAAAGTTAAACCTTAAAAGGTAATAATAATAACAATTTTAATGGTCGATTGTAAAAGCGAATCTTTTGCTCGTCGCAAAAGGAGAGAAGAACAGAAACGAATGACAAACACGGAACAGAGGAAACGTTTCGCGGAGAGATTGTAGCTTGCATTTTTGTAGTCCAGTGTTACACATAGAAATATACAGCGCAGGGGGTGGGAAAAGTTGTGAATCTCGTGTAATTTTCTTTTTCCTGTTTGCTTGTTCATTAAGTGTTCGTTGTTAATAATATGTATACTAGCGTAAAATTTACTTTACCACACACGCTCTCTGTCATGTACAGGTAAAGTGTCAGAAAATAAGCGACAGTCTGGCATGCGTGCTTGACCTCTTGAATGTGATTACGCGTGTATCTTTTATAATAGTAATTTTCTTTCGTGTGCACGTGTGTGTCGCTCCTTAATCTCAATCTTTTTTTTACTTAAATCTGACTTACTAGTTTTTATCTTCGCACGCAAACCGTGTACCTAGAGTACATCACATCACGGAGTGGGATTTTCATCAGGAGAGCATCGTTCAGCCGAGCTATTGTATTACACATTTCGCTCTCTAGAGTAGTCTAGTCAAACTGAGAGTGACACGCTCAAAATATAAAAACGTGCATGTGCCTCTCCTTAATTACTATGGAACAGACGCAAAAGACCGTGTCCAATGTATATTTTTCAACATACGCTTTGTAAAATTTGAAGAAAAGAGAAGAAAAGAATATCACATTTCTACAGCGTGTAGACCTCAAAGAATTTTCTTAAATATCTAAAAATCCGAGTTCAATCTCGAGATTCGAAATACTAAATCGTATCACATAAATTCTGCTTCCTTTTTTTTTTTTACTTTTCTACTAGAGCTTGTAATGTGTCAGCATGCACACATACAAGTTCGTGAAAACGATACACTCTTGATTTAAATACACCGCCACTCCGCAGATCACATTTAATATGTATATATATGTATATGTGTATAATATATATATACATATATCTACAAAAACGTTATGATATGATTACAAGTCCTAACTGCTTAACGTCTACTTCTTTTTTCATTTTTTTCTATACCTTATGCGTTAGGTCCTGTTCACTACTTCTCTTGAATACTTCATCTCTGTCTGAATAAAACTGTGACGCTGTTGCGCTACCGTGAAACCTATCTTTTTTGCATTATATGTATATATAATTACACATTAGCAATGATTAATAATAATAGTAGCAATAATAACATTAATAGTAATGTTAATGATAATAGTAAAAGTTTTAATCATTTACTACAATTCATAATAAAAAATACGAGAATGTGATGCAGAAATTTTAACAATTTTACGCGATCCTCCTAGGGGGCGGACGCATAAAACAAATAAAAATGAAAGGAAAAACATCTAATATTTATAAATTGTGGAACAGAACACAATATCATAAAACAGGAATCGAGAAACAATAAACAAATAAACATTATCAAGTCAACGAGCATCGAGCACATCATTTTAATTAACTAACGCATCTCTGTTTAATTTTAATTGTCCCTTGTTTTTTTAATTCTTTTTTTCTTAATTCCTTAGCTTAGTACCATTGTTTGCATTATCCTTTTGCATTGATATATATATATACATACATATATACATTTATATGTATCTTATATATCCTCCTAGGGCTGATAAATAATTTTATTTCCAATCTCAAAATAAAAACTCACGTCAAAGCAGCAACGTACAACGTGCATCCTCTTGCGCTACAAGTGGTACGTTGTCCCTCTTCTTCCTTTTTCATCCCGGTGCTTTTTAATCACTATTATATTCGCGTTCTCCTTTCTTCTTTTAATCCCACTATTCTCTATTCTTCTTACGCTTTTAATTTTCTTCGGCTATGAATAAGGATTCTTGCTTTTGCGTACAGAGCCTCTTTAGAATGGTATACAACTTATCCTCTAGTTGTGTTGTAATAAATATTGCCTCGAATATAAACGCATTTTCGTTTTTAAACACTCCCTTATTTAAGTTTATAATTCTGATTATTAATTTTTTTTTCTGCTAATTTGCATAAGTTGTAAGTTAGGTCTCTCTCAGCAGACAAAAAGTGACATATATCTCCTTTTCCTCTTTCGCACGATCCCTTTCTCTCCCTCCCACGCATCCTTTAAAAAGGGGGATAACCAACAATATTTAAGCCCTTTTTATTTCTCTATATTTGTTTGTATCTTGTTTTACCTCATTATTATCTTATGTTACGTACGGCCGAGTCTAGTCTCTAGTTATTTTCAATGGTATTTTTTTTTCTTTTTACATTTATGTGTTAGAGTAGTCATTTGGTTCGCTTCAAAAACACAGCTTATTACCTTTACAC